ATAAAAATACAAGAGGCTTCCATACCAACATACAGAACGGGCCCATTTTGCCAAGTTATGGGCCGCAAAAGAAGGCCCATTAAAACAGATATCATTAACTAATTTATTATATGTATTAAAATTACAGTTTTCGATTCTACATTTGGTCTCCCTTGTTCACTTAAAACACATTCGGTCAATCATATTTCAACAATTTGACTTTTTTTGTCATTTTCCGTCAATTATTAGTTAGGTAAGAGAGCGATGGATATATATTTGGTCCCGTTACTAGTAACGAATAATTAACAAAAAAAAAATGTTAAATTGTTGAAACATGAGGGATTAAATTAATTTTTGCAAACTTGGGGGACCGAATGTTGAATCAAGGTAAATGGGAGAGGCAAAAAATGTAATTCTCGAATAAAAAAAATCTCAAAAAAAATAAAAAAAAAATTATTCTGTATAAAAATAATTATACAATTTGCTTTTAACCTGGGCAAGGCTCCTTTCTCTATCTGTTTTCTCTCTCTTCGGTTCGTGTCAAGTATCCGGCCAATCCAGTTGATATCAGCAAATTCGCTACGCCCGCCGGCAATTACACGGTAGAAATACCTTTTTTTTTTTACCTTTTCGACGGTAGATTTTGTGTGTTTTTATTCTGCCCTTTATATGCTGTTCTAGTTTTGTTTTAGGTTTTAATTGGTTCAGACAATTTGGTTTTAGCTGCTGTTTGTTTGAAGCTTTGATTAATTTCCGTGATTCGAGATCAATCAATTGGTTAGTAATCACTGAAATTTGTATTTTTAGGTTAGTTATCTCAAATTATTCTTAGGTAGGGCTCCATAATTGAACTGCCCAATTCCTAATCAGGGTTCGTAGATTAGTTCTACTTTCAGCTATTCCGTCAGATTATCTCAGTTCTGTTTTTTTTCTCTTCATTAATATGATAAAATTACACAATTTCTAGATAATCGCTAGGCTTTCGATTATGTGCTTTGTTTGTCTAGGGTATACAACATAGTTGCAGTATTATGCTTCAGTTTATCTGAATGCTGATATTTGGTTTCTTTTAGGTTTTCCAAATTTAACGAGCCGAAATAAAAAGGGGTGAAAATGAAGAAATACGGTTTGCAACTTAGGGTTCAACCGCAGCAGAAAAAACAGCCCACCAAACCCCCAATTCCCGCCCCACTTGGCTTCAACGACGAAGATGACGATGATATGTTGAGAGAGACATTATGCGACAGGCGTACAAAAACAAACTCACAAAGATGTTAGTCCTCTCTCTCTCTAGATAATAATTTGCCTAGTAGCTAACAATAATCTAATGTTGTGTTTCTTTCTGTGTGGCTTTTGATGGATTTTTGTTTAGAAGTACTTATTTTCACTTGTTTCGAATTCTTAATATAGATTGAAGAGCAGCATAAGAAGGCTCTTGAAGAAGACCCGTCGGTGTTCGATTACGATGGAGTATATGATAAGATGAAGGAGAAACAAGTTCTTCCTGCACAGCAGGAGCGCGTTGATAGAAAGGTATTATTTGAATTTATTGCTACTTATTGGAAATTACATTTTTTTTTTTAGCTTCTTCCATATGAACTTGATTGAATGATTCTCGTATTTGTTCAGTTTTCATGTCTTTCTGCTACTTGAAAATATTCATTTGGGATAATTGCTACTGTTTCAGAAAATTGTTTAGTTTGGATTTAGATTCATCTTGAATTAAATAATTTTTATGCGAAGATAATGTTTAAATTTGAAGTGATTTGATTTTTCAAAGCTGCAGAATTGGGTAATTTGCAAATTTATTCCCCCGGGCCTTGTAAAATCATAAAGAGCAAGATTCCCATGTTAGTTTTCATATCCGTGCACTATGCTATATAGTCCGTTGGGCGGTCTTGTGTACTCCGGTAAATTCATTCGTTTAGTTGGGATGTGATCATATGAAGAAGAGTGAGTTTTTCTAGTTTTAGAAATTGGGCAGCTGAGGTGTTATGGAGAGTTCGATTTAAAATCTATCTCGCGTTACCTTGATTTTCTGATCTTATTGTAATTCTTAGTCGTAGAGAGTTAAGTAACCAGACAACTGTTTACTTTTGTTTTGTTTGCAGCCAAGATATATTCAAACATTAATGGACAAGGCGAAA